CGACCGTTTCGCAGATCGCTTTCGGTCGCGACCGGAGAGGGTCCAATTTGAGTGCGCGGTGAGTACCCACTGTGCTGGGCCCCCCAGCAGGCCCCTCGAAAGTGCGACAGTTCACAGAATCAGCAGCCCCCCCCGGGATGGCGAGGATCACATTTGAGTCTGCGTGAGTCACCCACTGTTGCTGGCCCTCCGCAGCCCTCGGAAAGTGCGGACAGTTTCACAGACGCAGCCCCCCCAGGGATGGCGAGGTCGAATATGCCGTGCGCGGTGATCCCACTGTGCTGGGCCCTCAGCAGCCCTGAAAGTGGCGACAGTTTCACAGATCGCAGACCCCCCCTCAGGATGGGAAAGCGGCGTCTAATTGAGTCTGCGGTGAGTACCACTGTGCTGGCCCATCAGCAGGCCTCCGAAAGGGCGACAGTTTCACAAAATCGCAGCAACCAGGGATGGCGAGGTACATTTGAGTCTGCCGTGAGTACCACTGCGCTGGGGCCCTCAGCAGGTCCTCGAAAGTGGCGACAGTTTCACAGATCGCAGCCCCCCAGGATGGCGAGGTCCCATTTGAGTCCGCGGTGAGTACCCACTGTGCTGGGCCCCCCAGCAGCCCTCGAAAGTGGCGACAGTTTCACAGATCGCAGCCCCCCAGGGATGGCGAGGTCCCATTTGAGTCTGCGGTGAGTACCCACTGTGCTGGGCCCCTCAGCAGCCCTCGAAAGTGGCGACAGTTTCACAGATCGCAGCCCCACAGGGATGGCGAGGTCCCATTTGAGTCTGCGGTGAGTGCCCACTGTGCTGGGCCCCATCAGCAGCCCTCGAAAGTGGCGACAGTTTCACAGATCGCAGCCCCCGAGGGATGGCGAGGTCCCATTTGAGTCTGCGGTGAGTACCCACTGTGCTGGGCCCCTCAGCAGCCCTCGAAAGTGGCGACAGTTTCACAGATCGCAGCCCTCCAGCTGGCACGCAGCGACGAGCGAGGCAAAAGGCAAGGGGGAAGAGAGGGGCGGGAAGGAAGAAAGGAGACGCGCGAGCAGTGCTCTATTCAAAACGAGAACCCAACGCAGGAGGGTTGGGAATAATACGAATAATAAGAAGACTGATAATAACAATACTCCTCTCCTGGCAAGCACAGGCTCCTCAGAAGCCCTCCTGCCTCCCGAGAAGAACGCTTCCTTCTCAACAAACCACCCCCTCTCGCCCCACCCCATTGTGCGCGCCGCCGCACCCCGCAGCCAATGAACATACGAGGTGATCTGAATTGGCGGCGGCGCGACCCGCGGTGCGCGACGCGCGCCATTACCTCCGCGCCCTCGCTAAGCCGCCCCGGAGAAGGGCAGCTGTCCAGCCCGCGCCGCGACACGCGAAGCGCGGTGTCACCCCTCTGCGAGTTACCGACGTGAAGCAGACTCGAGGAACAGGCGGCTCAGGGGCAACGTTAGGGGGGGGAGGGAGCTCAGGGCAAGGAGGGGGATGAAATGGTGATAGATCGCCGACAAATCGGCGTTGGGCACCCGATAGCGAAGCACCACCTTTGTTGGGCGGGCCAGGCTATCAGGCCCCTATACGCGATGACTGGGCGACTGTGGGCCGACGAGTCAGCCCCTGAACCTACGTACGCAGGTTCGTGTCGTGACGGTTTGCGCTGTGGCTTCCGCCACCGCGTGGATCGTTCAACCTTCAACGATCAGCGGCCGATCGATCGCCAGATCGTTCCATACTGGCCCAGTCTAGGTCACTGGCGGCGTTCATTCTTAACGCCCGCACTGGGGTCGTCGCCGCGCAGATCGTTCCATACTGGCCCAGCCTAGGCCACTGGCGGCGCTTATTCTCAACGCCCGTTGGTCCACACGGCACGAACCGGGCGCATCCCCCCCCCCCTCACGCTGCCCCCCGAACGCGGGCGCGCGGGCGCGCGATGGCTTCTACGGCGCAGACCAGGCCATGCGTCGCGCTCAGAGCGCTGGAGTGCGCTCGGCCGCGGGCGGGCTCTCGGCCGCCGGGGGCGCGAGGGTCGGGGGGGAACGGGAGGGCGGGTTGGCAAAGGGTGGGGTGGATTGGCGGCCAGGACCAGTGGGGGAAATGAGAGGCTCCTCCTCCTCCTCCTCCTCCTCCTCCTCCTCCTCCTCCTCCTCATCATCATCATCATCATCATCATCATCATCATCATCATCATCATCATCATCAACATCATCATCATCATCATCATCATCATCATCATCATCATCATCGCATCATCATCATCATCATCACATCAGCATCAGCATCTCATCATCATCATCATCTCATCATCACATCATCATCATCATCAGCATCATCATCATCACATCATCATCTCCTCCTCCTCCTCATCCTCCTCCTCCTCTCCTCCTCCTCCTCCTCCTCCTCTCCTCCTCTTCCTCCTCCCGCATCATCCTTCCTCCTCATCCTCCTCCTCCTCCTCATCCACTCCTCCTCCTCTCCTCCTCCTCCTCCGTCCTCCTCCTCTTCCGCCCTCCTCCTACTCCTCTCACTCCTCCCCTCCTCCTCCTCCTCCTCCTCCTCCTCCTCCGCCTCCCCCTCCTCCTCCTCTGTATCCTCCTCCTCCTCATCCTTCTCATCCTCCCTCCCCTCTCCTCCTCCTCCTCCTCCTCCTCCTCCTCCTCCCCTCCTCCTCCTCCTCCTCCTCCTCCTCCTCCTCCTTCTCCTCTCCTGATCATCCTCCTCCTCCCCCCCTCCTCCCCTCATACTCCTCCTCCTCCTTCCTCTCCTCCTCCTCCTCCTCCCCCTCCTCCTCCTCTCCTCCTCCTCCTCCTCCTCCTCCTCCTCCTCCTCCACCTCGTCCTCCTCCTCCTGCTCCGAGGGGCCCCAGGGAGAGAGGAAACGATTCCCAGTTTGAACGACGGACCCCCAGAGACCAGGAGCTTCGGGGACATCAGTTCGATCCTTCGCGACGCCGAAGGCTACGCGACCGTTTTCGGGGACGGATCGGGCGGGGGCTTTTCGGATGACCCTCGGCGTCGCCGGGTTGGCGCTAGCGGAGTGGCGCTTGCGCCAGAGGGACTCTTTTGGAAGTCGGCCTGGGGTATTGGAACCACCATCCAAGGGAGGAGGCAGACTGTGCCTCGCGCGGAGATTACCGCCTTCGCTTCTGCTGTGGAGCTCCTCCCAGGCCGGCTGCGTTGTATCACCGATCATCGTCCAATCCTTTCGACCTGGACTAGAGGAAGGCGTTTCGGGTTTGAGAGCGTGGGGGGGAGCCAACGCCGATCTCTGGTCCAGGGTAGCCTCAGCACTTCAAGCCAGAGAGCCTGGAGACGTGCTGCTCGAATGGGTTGCCTCCCCCACCAAGAGGAGGCGACACTCCGAGCCGGCGCCGGCAGAGTCCGTGCGCTCGGTAAGGAGTGTGCGGATGCGCTGGCGGCGGCGATGGCTGATATTTCGTGGACTAGTTTTGTTGTGTTTTACCCTCCTACCGAGAGGGATTCGGAGGCCGCCTTGGTCCGACAGCGTGCGAGACGGGCCCTGGGATGCGCGAGTTTGTCGGATCCGTGGTCCGTGGACCGCCCGAAAATCAGGGGCCCTGCACCGCTCCCGAAATTGGCGCGTGCTTTCAGGGACTCCGACCATCGATGGCGTCGAGTGGGTGCGAAGTTTTACTGCACGCAGTGGTCGCAGTTCTCGAATTCTCGAAACACGATTCGATGTTCCAAGCGTGTGCGACCCAGTGCTCGAGCAAGCAGTTTCGGGAGTTCGAGCCCCTGCGTGGACCCCAGAGAGTGGGCGCTAAGGACCTTCACCCGTCGCACACGTTGCAGTATTGGAGCAAATACTGCCTTAGTTTCTGTAGCGAGTGCGGATTTAGTTGCACCACCGACCCTCGTCAGTTGGGTAAGGAATGTACCAAAGGATGCAGAATTTAGCGCGAATTAATGCGGGTAAGTATCCCCACCCCTCGGGGCCACCGAAGCCGGTCCGTGAGGCAGAAGGCTGCAGAATTGCCAAATGAGCAGGGACTTTCGTCGTCCTCCCAGCGAACATTCCCGAACATTCCTCTTCCTCCTCCTCCTCCTCCTCCTCCTCCTCCTCCTCCTCCTCCTCCTCCTCCTCCTCCCCTCCTCCTCCTCCTCCTCCTCCTTCCTCCTCCTCCTCCTCCCCTCCTCGTCCTCCTCCCTCCTCCTCCTCCTCCTCCGCCTCCTCCTCGTCCTCCTCCTCCTCCTCCTCCTCCTCCTCCTCCTCCTCTCTCCTCCTCCTCCTCCTCCTCCTCCGTCTCCTCCTCCTCATCCTCCTTCTCCTCCTCATCGTCATCCTCCTCCGTCTCCTCCTGTTCATCATCCTCCTCCCCATCGTCTTCTTCATCGTCCTCCTCCTTCGTATTAGTATGCTTGTTATTCGTCTTGAAATTATCCGTATGAAGATTAGTCGTGGCGTTTAGTGTTGTTCGTGTTAGTCCTCCTCCTCGTCATCCTCCTCCTCCTCCTCCTCCTCCCTCCCTCCTCCTCCTCCTCCTCCTCCTCTCCTTCCTCTCATCCTCATCCTCATCCCCCGTCTTCTCCTCCTCCTCGTCCGCCTTCTCATCATCCTCCTCCTCCTCCTCCTCATCAACATCCTCCTCCTCATCCGCTTCTTCCTCCTCCTCCTCCTCCTCGTCATCGTCATCATCATCAGCAGCATCTTCCTCATCCTCCTCCTCATCATCATCGTCATCACCATCATCATCATAATCAGCATCGTCATCAGCATCATCAGCAGCAGCACCATCAGCATCATGATCAGCATCATCAGCATCATCAGCATTATCAGTATCATCAGCATCATCAGCATAAGCATTATCATCATCATCATCATCATCATCATCATCATCATCATCAGCAGCAGCAGCAGCAGCAGAATCATCATCAGCATCATCATCATCATCATCAGCGTCACCATCATCATCATCCTCAGCATCAGCATCCGCATCATCATCAGCATCAGCATCATCAGCATCATCATCTTGTTCCCCCTCCTCCTCTTCCTCCGCCTCCTCCTCCTCATAATCTCCTCCTCCGTCTCCTCCTCATCCTCCTCCGCCTCCTCCTCCTCCTCCGTATCCTCCTCCTTATCCTCCTCCTCCTTCCTCATCCCCTCCTACTTCCTCCTCCTCCTCCTCCTCCTCCTCCGCCTCCTACTCCTCCTCCTCCTCCACCTCCTCCTCCTCCTCCTCCTCCTCCTCCTCCTCCTCCTCCTCCTCCTCCTACTCCTCCTCCTCCTCCGCCTCCTCCTCCTCCGCCTCCGCTCCGCCTCCGCCGCCGCCGACGCCGCCTCCTCTCCTGCTCTCCTACTCCTCCTCCTCCTCCTCCTCCTCCTCCTCCTCCTCCTCCTCCTCTCTCCTCTCCTGCCCCTCCTCCTCCTCCTCCTCCTCCTCCTCCGCATCCTGCCCCCCTTCCCCCCACACCCCCCACCCCCACCCCACCCCCACACCCCCGTTTCCTCTCCTCCTCCTCCTCCTCATCATCATCATCATCCTCCTCCTCCTCCTCCTCCTCCTCCTCTTCTTCTGCTTCTTCTTATCAGTATTCGTCGTCGTCTTCTTATTAATAGTAGTTGTCGTATTGTTACTATTCGTAGTCTTCTGAATATTCTTAGTACTCACAACCCTCCTTGGATGGGTATTCGTTTTGAATAGAGGGGTGTGCTCGCGTCCTTCTCGCGCCCCCCCTGTGGTCGCCGTCCCTGGGGGGGCTGCGACCTGCGGGGGCTGCGATCTGCGAAACTGTCGCAACTTTCGAGGGCTGCTGGGGAGGCCAGCTGAGAGGGCACTCACCGCGGATCCAAACGGGACCTCGCCGTCCCTGGGGGGCTGCGACCTGTGAAACTGTCGCAACTTTCGAGGGCTGCTGGGGAGGCCAGCAGAGAGGGTACTCACCGCGGATCCAAACAGGACCTCGCCGTCCCTGGGGAGGGCTGCGACCTGTGAAACTGTCGCCACTTCCGAGGGCTGCTGGGGAGGCCAGCAGAGAGGGCACCCACCGCGGATCCAAAACGGGACCTCGCCGGCCCTGGGGGGGCTGCGACCTGCGACACTGTCGCCACCTTCGATGGGCTGCTGGGGAGGCCAGCAGAGAGGGCACTCACCGCGGATCCAAACGGGACCTCGCCGTCCCTGGGGCTGCGACCTGTGAAACTGTCGCCACTTTCGATGGGCCTGCTGGGGAGCCAGCTGAGAGGTAACTCAGCGCGGATCCAAAACAGGACCTCGCATCCCTGGGGATCTGCGACCTGTGAAACTGTCGCCACGTTCGAGGGCTGCTGGTGAGGCCAGCGAAGAGGGCACTCACCGCGGATCCAAACAGGAGACCTCGCCATCCTGGGCTGCGAACAGCGAACTGTCGCCACTTCCGAGGGCGGCTGCTGGGGAGGCCTGCTGAGAGGCAACTCACTCGCGGATCCAAACGGACCTCGCCGTCCCTGGGGGGCTGCGACTGTGAAACTGCCGCCAACTTTCGAGGGCTGCTGGGGATGCCAGCATAGGTGTACTCACCGCGGATCCAAACGGGACCTCGCCGTCCCTGGGGGGCTGCGACCTGCGAAATTGTCGCCAATTTCGAGGGCTGCTGGGGAGGCCAGCAGAGAGGGCACTCACCGCGGATCCAAACGGGATCTCGCCGTCCCTGGGGGGCTGCGACCTGCGACACTGTCGCCACCTTCGATGGGCTGCTGGGGAGGCCAGCAGAGAGGGTACCCACCGCGGATCCAAACAGGACCTCGCCATCCCTGGGGGGCTGCGACCTGTGAAAATGTCGCCACTTTCGAGGGCTGCTGGGGAGGCCAGCAGAGAGGGTACTCACCGCGGATCCAAACAGGACCTCGCCATCCCTGGGGGGGCTGCGACCTGTGAAACTGTCGCCACTCTCGAGGGCCGCTGGGGAGGCCAGCAGAGAGGGCACTCACCGCGGATCCAAACAGGACCTCGCCATCCCTGGGGGTCTGCGATGTGTGAAACTGTCGCCAC